ACCAGCTAAGTGCTATTTCTTATTTTTATACCGTTTTTTCTGTTGTTTTGTTCGCTGACGAAGGCTTTCTGCCGACACGTTCGCATTTTTGTTGCGTATATTTTTTCAGGTTTAACCCTACTCTGTTTTACTCATTTTATTTTGTACTAACCTGATTGCAGTCTCTCCCCTTGTGACACGGTAATTAATAAGACCAACTAACGTCTTGAGTCTGTCTTGGCTCATCTATTATGGAAACACTGCAGCCGCGGGGGCGATGCGTCGAAGGGGCTTTAAGCAGGCAGAACATCCCGCTGAGTGACACTTTACCCAACGTCAGGGGTTATTACATATTTACCGATGTTGATCGGAGTCTGGCATGCATGCTGCTACGGAGGCAGGGGTGAACTATTGATGGAGAAACCGTGATAAAGTTAAGGGGGCCCTTATCCCTATAACTAAGAAGCGTGTCGTCTGCTGATGACATCAGGAATACAAAAGGCAGTCAAGGTAAAGTCAATTTCAGAGCCGGAAAGAGACAAAGCTTAAAACACCCGGACGTGAGCCATGGGCTTAATTAGCATGATGGTCAGCCCGCCATTGAAACTAGGCAACTTGGAAATCCGTCATTGATCTAATTTATCCTTGATGCAGGTACACGTTGAGGTAATCGGGGGAAAAAAAAGGGGGGATGGGTGGAGAGGGGGGTAGCTATGTTTGCATTGTCCCTAAAAAAATTGCTGGTTGATAAGTCCGGGGCCGGGTCCATTTGAGGTTCAAGAGCCCTTGGCACGTTCCCCCACGTGTCCCCGGGGACAATACGATCCTTCGATGCTTGGTCATCAACATACCGGTACTGGTGTTCAGAGGCGCTTGCACGAATTGGTTTTGCAGGGTAAAATTCGTAGCTTCATTTGCTCGATTAAAGTGTTCTTTTTATCCCAGGGCAAATTTTGATTGGGTACTTTCTTCTTTTAACACAAATATTATTTAATTATCTTTATATTATAATTATGGCTAAGTGGCTGTGGATACTATAGTTATGGCTACAATGGCTGTAGATGGTATAGTTATGGCTACACTGGTGTTGGATATTATAGGTATGGCTACAATGGATGTGGATACTATCGTTATGGCTCTGGCTAAAATGGATGTGCCTAAAATGACCACGTCTACAATGGCTATAGCTACCATGACTATAGCCGCAATGGTTGTGGCTACCTTGGCTAGGGCTACTATAGCGGGAGCTAAAATGATTGTTGCTACTATGGCTATGGCTACATTGGAAGGGGTGAAAATGGCAACGGCTGCAATGAATGTGGCCACACTGGCGATGGCTAAACAAAATATTTGTACTATAGCTACAGGGACCATAGCTATGACCATCTTGGCTATCATGTCTGTAGCTACAATAGCTGCTGCTATATCACATAGTATATGTTTATGGCTACAAGGTGGCTACTATGGCTGTTTGTTGCGAGGAAAATTTCCACACCACGACTATCCACTACATACCAGACATATTACGAAAGACAACAGGTGGAGGGAGGTGGGGGGAGGCTATTAATTTTTGCGTCACATGTACGCCTGGCATTGTTCGAACACTCCTGATAATACGGAAGGCTGGGGAAATGCAGTGTGTGTGTGTCACCCCCCCCCCCCCGGGAGGCACGCTCACAATTCTGAAAGTCAACATTGTGTCCCAGAGGCGGCTCCCGATGATGTCACTTAATCCAGTGGTTTCCATGTGATTGATTCAATTTTAATTTTAATACTAATAAAAAATTTCCCTGGAATTAAGAATCTTTACAAAAACAACAATCTATTAAGAAACTTCACAAACACAAGATTTTATTAAGAAACTTTGTAAACACAACAATTTACTAAGAAACTTCACAAACACAAGAATCTACTAAGAAACTTTACAAACACAACAATTTACTAAGACACTTCACAAGAATTTACTTTGTTACGGTTATCAGGAACAAAAAAAGTAGCCCGAATTGAGTAAGTTCAGATGTTATGATGATAATAGGATCGGACTAATTAAGAGACAGTTCAACTTTTTTTTTTTAAAGACACAACGTAACGCTTGCATGACGTCACGTGCGGAATAATGTTCTCGTCGTCGTCAATGGGTCGTGTGACGTCACAGGCAAGCCTCGGAGTCGTTAGGGTTCGAATAATCCAAAAATCTTCCTACGTCCTGTTTATACGAGATCCTTTCCCCGTACAACCAGATGAACAACACTTTTAAATGAACAAAAAAACGTTGACAAGTTCATATTCCTTTTAAGCAGTGGCTCTCAACACTCCTAGTGTCGCGACCCTTTAATTACGTTTAATACAGTTCATCATGTTTTTGGTGATCCCGAAACAAATAATTATCTTCGTTGCTACTTTATAAATACGTGTTTTCCGACCCAAGGGCTGAGAACCACTGCTGTATGGCAGCTACATGGCTTTGACTACAATTTAGCTAAACAGATGCAGTTATGCGTAAGAGTGTGCCCCTGTAGTGCTGGCGGGCATCCATAGTTCCTCCGAAAGACAGCTGCATTTAGATTGACCATGAGTTCCTGACTGCCGCTTGGATACTATTCTAGTCATAATAAATTACACATACCGGTACATTTGCATTTCAAAATAAAATTGGTCTTCGGTGACTATGTCAGGGATTCCCCAAACATCACCATCTCAGGGATTCCCCAAACATCCCCATCTCAGGGATTCCCCAAACATCCCCATCTCAGGGATTCCCCAAACATCCCCATCTCAGGGATTCCCCAAACATCCCCATCTCAGGGATTCCCCAAACATCCCCATCTCAGGGATTCCCCAAACATCCCCATCTCAGGGATTCCCCAAACATCACCATCTCAGGGATTCCCCAAACATCCCCATCTCAGGGATTCCCCAAACATCACCATCTCAGGGATTCCCCAAACATCCCCATCTCAGGGATTCCCCAAACATCCCCATCTCAGGGATTCCCCAAACATCCCCATCTCAGGGATTCCCCAAACATCCCCATCTCAGGGATTCCCCAAACATCCCCATCTCAGGGATTCCCCAAACATCACCATCTCAGGGATTCCCCAAACATCCCCATCTCAGGGATTCCCCAAACATCACCATCTCAGGGATTCACTGCACATCACCATCTCAGGGATTCCCCAAACATCCCCATCTCAGGGATTCCCCAAACATCACCATCTCAGGGATTCCCCAAACATCACCATCTCAGGGATTCCCCAAACATCCCCATCTCAGGGATTCCCCAAACATCACCATCCCAGGGATTCACTGCACATCACCATCCCAGGGATTCAGTGCACATCACCATCCCAGGGATTCACTGCACATCACCATCCCAGGGATTCAGTGCACATCACCATATCAGGGATTCACTGCACATCACCATCCCAGGGATTCACTGCACATTACCATCTCAGGGATTCACTGCACATCACCATCCCAGGGATTCACTGCACATCACCATCCCAGGGATTCACTGCACATCACCATCTCAGGGATTCACTGCACATCACCATCCCAGGGATTCACTGCACATCACCATCCCAGGGATTCACTGCACATCACCATATCAGGGATTCACTGCGCATCACCATCTCAGGGATTCACTGCACATCACCATCTCAGGGATTCACTTCACATCACCAGATCAGGGATTCACTGCAAATCACCAGATCAGGGATTCATCACATCTTTATCCCAAATACTCACCACACCACAATAAAGATATTCATCACTATCTCATAATAATATATTCACATCACTTTCCCGGATATTAGCCACATCTATGTACCATATATTCACCAGTTCATTGCCCCAGATATCACTACACCTCACTATCCCAGATATTCACCACACATCACTATCACAGATATTTACCACACTTCACTATACCAGATATTCACCACACTTCACTATACCAGATATTCTACACACTTCACTATTCCAGATATTCACCACACATCACTATCCCAGATGTTCACCACATTACTATCCCAGATATTCACCACAGATCCCAATACCAGTCAGTCAAACACGTCAGTCAGTCAAACACGTCAGTCAGTCAGACACGTCAGTCAGTCAAACACGTCAGCCAGTCAGTCAGAAGTGTCATTTAGTCGGTCAAAAACGTCAGTCAATCAAACTCATCAGTCCCCTCAAAGACGTCAGTCAGTCAAACACATACACTTTGTGTAATGAAATATCGTGTGCTGATCTACTATTTAAGTACCGGTATCGTAATATAAAGCAGAATACTTTATTCAAGAATTTATTTACACTAGTTGAACAGACGACAATTTTATATAGATTCATACAAACAAAGCAAGCCACAAACTCATGGCACAAATAATCTGATCTGAAGCATTTTAGTTTTATTATTAAATTATTGTAGCAAAATCAAATTTAGGTATGCATGTAAAAACATCAGAACCACTGGTCAGTCTCAACCCACTGACTTCAAATCACGGCCGGCCCACAAGCTACTTTTTCGTTGAGGATAGAAAAATCAGTGGATCCCAAACATTTAAATGGTATAACCCCCCTTTTGCATTTAATCTTCTCGCATTTAGCCATTTTTTACATTATTTTTTTTTACAGTTCGTCTTTATTTTACTAAAAAGGTAATCAATAATTTAGATTATTGCACATCAGATTTAAAAAAAAAAAATAATGATTATATAAAGCCATGATGGTTAACTAGGCCTCAAAGTAAAAGCCCGTTCAGCGTTGTAGTTTATATGCTGTCTTAACCGCTTTTGAGAACCGCTCTTATCGTGTCCAGCTCCAATGTGGACATTGTCATGGCAGATAATATTTCTTTACAATTCGCTGGCTTGCGGACTGGCGTTACGGGGAAAGAAAGGTCACCCCACCCTAAACCAATGCAGCTCTTTCCGGAAGTCTACCACTGCCCTCTTCACCCATCCCCCCATTTATCAGATATTAGCACGTTATTTAAGCCTGGTCCTGCTCTTGCTAACATCATCCTGGCGGCAGAGAGCAGACTGACAGCAAGTAGAATTCGTTGATAGGAAGGAAGCTGTCCCTGCTATTTCGCCGAAAGAAACATTGCGTGTGGCGCTTTTCACCTGACTTCAGTGACGTAACGAATTCTTCTAATCAAAGTGAGTACCAGGTACATTCTTGACACTGAACACAAACCAGCCTTACAAACATTCAACAAACTTGCTACATAAGATAAATGCTACACACTTATTCAAGTCGGCATCCAACGGCTCTTTGAATGAATAATCGTAAAGCCGTTTAAACTTACATAAAAACAAAACCTAGGTACTTAAATGTCTCTGCTTGCTCTGTACTGAGATTATCTCTTGTGAGATCTGCTGCAATAGGCAATAGGGTGATCTCCCCTCCAGAAATCGACAGTTTTTGTGTGTGCTTTATTTTTTATTTAAAAAAGAAAAGTTTTTTGAGACATTTATTTACTGGAACAAAAAAAAATAATCGCATCAACTGAAAAAGCTTGCAACTAAGTAGCCCGTATAAGCTTTCCCCTTCAGACATTAAGCCTAAAATTGTGGTATCATCAGAAAATTTAAAGACTGGAACTTTGAGCTTGGAACCATGTTGCTTAGGGCTGTGGATAGCCTTGGCCTCAAGTGGAGACAGGGCAGGGGAGAGAACGCAACCTTTTGTACCCCGGTAGTGATTTCACGAGTTACTGATCTCGGTCAGGTCATTCACCTTGACCTATTGTTAGTGATTAGTTAAAAAGTTCAGCATCCACGCTGGAATGTTTGATGTGACATCCACCGAAGACAGCTGTTTAATCATAAGCTGTGCTTGGATGCACGTATGATATGTCATAAATAGTCTTGAAAAATCAGGAATGAAGTATAAGAAGCAAACTGTCACCCCAGGTATCGTATGAATCTTTGTTCGCTCCTGTCTGTAAAAGGGGGGGGGGGCTCCATAAATAAATAACCCAATAAAAGGTTGCTGACCCCTGCGTGATTATAACTGGCCACAGCTTCACTCACACCTCCATTACAGCTCCAGTCATACTTGAAGATCTAAGCAGAAAAGATGTATAACAACTTTTCAACAGGTTATATTATATTTTAACTAGGACATTCGCGGAAGTCCCCCACAACAATTACCCCAGCGCCACTACTCTAATTATCTCAGCTCTACTGTTACATCACAGTGATCCCAGCTTCACTATTACAATGATCTCAGCTCTAGTACCACAATTCCTTTAATGTAATTATACCAGTATCACTACTACAATTAACTCAAATTCCAATACCCCCCCCCCCCCCCCCCCAAAAAAAAAAAAAAAAAAATAAAAAAAAAAAAAAAAATTTTTTTAAAAAAAAAAAAAAAAAAAAAAAAAAAAAAAAAAAAAAAAAAATCCAAAACCCCCCCCCCCCCAAACCAAAAATAAATAAAAATAAATCATAATAATAATAATAATCTTTTTATAAAATAAATAAATAAATGAAAAATGAAAAAAAGCGAATTCCACACAAGATCTTGAAGACTTCAGTGGCATGTTTAGTACCGGTATCAGCATTGTTTTCACTACGTGTCTAGCAGTCAAAAAAAACTTAAGAGTCTTACACAACCCTTTCGATTGCATTGTTGATGAGCTGTCAAAGGAAATTCAAATGGAAGTTTCAATCTGCAAATCAATGATTTGGCGAAAGTCAGACACAACCAAGGAAAACGGAAAGACTTGTTTTTTTCAAACTGGTTTTTGTGTGATCCATTTAACAGTGGTTTTTTGGGGCAATCCTTATGCTAATTTAAAAGTGGCTCTTGAGTGATCCATTTGCAAAATTTTAAAAGTGGTTTTGGGATGATCCTTATGCTAATTTAAAAGTGGCTCTTGGATGATCCATATGATACTTTTAAAAGTGGCTCTTGTATACTCCATTTGCTAATTTAAAAATGACTTTTGGGGGATGACCCTTATGCTAATTTAAAAGTGGCTCTTGTGTGATCCACGTGCTAATTTTAAAAGCTTTCGCTCGTGATTTTAAACATTCCTTGGCACTATCCACTTGTGTGAGGAGACATTTCTAAGAAATGAAACACGTGAAATCAAGTATCAGACTAGGCTTATCTGAAAAGCACTTGTAAGCTCTGGTTGAAATAATAATATGGAGCACTGACTATTAGCCGCAACTAAATTTCTTGTCAGAGCAGAACAATCTTAATGCATGTCACTTAGGTGAAAAGATGATTGTAGAATTTCAATGTGTTCCAAATACTTAATGTGAGTCTCCGTTAAATTTATGGAATCTTTGTCAGAAATCTGAAGAGCTCCGATTTCTCTATTCTCACTACATTTCGACATGGAAATAAACGTGTGTCGCACATTTCGTACAAAGTTAATTTGGTTTAGAGATTCTGATCACAGATATAAGCCAGCTTGATTTTATGACATATCCATCCAGCCCTCGTCCAATAAATAAATAAAAAATAAAAAATTAAAATAATAATCTCTGGTCCAAACCACTGAGGAATAGTTCTGATAACGACGATTATGTTAGGGCTACTATTAGCACAAGGGAAGGGTGTGACCATTAGCCAGAAATGTCATCCTGACCCTGCGGTTTGAATAGATCCTTAAAAGAATGATAATCGTTCGTTTTTTGTTTCCAAACATGTGTAAGCTGTTCTGAAAAAGTCGATTCTGTAATAAGGTCTACGATACCAGAAGCTGTATGCCACTGATCAAGTCACCACCATCAACAAAGTGGGGCAGGTCAAAGGTTGAGGAATTCGTCAGTGTACATGATTAGTCATGAAACTAACCTCGGTAGTGCAATGTTAACCAAGCATCATTGCCTATACTTTAACTTTTTAAAAACATTATATCTTATACAACAATTATATCTTATAAACAACTATATCCTGTACAATAACTATATCTTATACAACAATATATATATATATATATATATTGTACAACAACTTTATCTTAAGGAGCAACTATATCTTTTAAAACAACTATATCTTATACAACAACTATATCTTATAAAACAACTATATCTTACACAACAATTATATCTTATATCACAACTATCTCTTGTACATAATTATATCTTATAAAACAACTATATCTAATACAACAAATATCTCTCATGTAACAACTATTTCTTATAACAACAACTATATCTTAAATCACAACTTAATCTTATATAACAGCTATATCTTATACAACAAATATATATTGCACAACAACTATATCTTACACAACAACAATATCATGTACAACAAATAATATCTTATACAACAATTATATCTTATATAACAACGAAATAGTGTACAACAATTATATCTTATAAAGCAATTACCAGTACATCATATGCAAAAATTATAACTTATAGGAATATAACTTATAAAATAATCAGACTTTCATAAAACATTAAAATTTTATAAAACATCAGACTTTTATAAATCCATCAGACTTTCATAAAACAATCAGACTTTTATAAAACAATCATAATGTATTCAACAATCATATCTGTTGAAACAACTATATCGTATACAACAACAATACAAACAGAAGAATGCCCTCGTAGGTCTGTCTAGAACAGTAGTTCTTAATCTGTTGGTCGTGATCCCTGCTGGGGGGTCGAACGACTCTTACACAGTGGTCGCCTTACGCCTTAGACCACCGGAGAACACAATGTATATTTATGAAGAAGTTGCGGAAATAATTTTATGGATTGGGGGGTGACCACAACATGAGGAACTGTATTAAAAGGGGTCGCGGCGTTAGGAAGGTTGAGAACCACTGATCTAGAGCATGGAACAGCGTCCTCTTAAAAACTCACACTCAATATTTCATCACGTCACTATTTCTTCACATCACTATTTCTTCACTTCATGAAGGAAACAGCAGAGCAATGCTGTGTGGAGGCTTGACATAGAAAGACAGGGCGATACAGGAAGAACGTTTCTTGTATTGTCCTGTCTTTTCTCTTGCAAGCGTCCACGTACTGTATTCTGCCGTCTCCTTCACACAGCTTGAACGCAATTCTTCAGTTCTTATACATCGAGGAATGAGTTTTTTGTTGTTTTTTTAAAACAGTTTGTAGCGGAGTGAGTGAATAAAAAGTAAAGCATTCGATTTATGAGGGGAAAAAAATGGAATATACATGGCGTAGCTTGTTAGTTCATAGAGAATGTACGGTTTCAAAGAGTTGTCTGTCGGGTAACACAGCCAGTAATGACCAGACACAAGCTATTGGCGGTAATGACAAAGGTTGCCGCTGGTCAATTAGAAGACTACGTTTCAGTGTGCTGGTAGAAAACTATGGCCAGAGAAGATTACGGTCAGTGGTGGTCAGTCCAACGTATTTCAAACAACAGTCTGGTTTTTGTTCTTGGTGCCAAATATATTGTTTCTGTGTGTCAAATGTCTCGTGTCTTCGTGCCAACTGTCTTGCGTCGTTGTGCATCAATTATCCAAATCAACCAAAGGCAGGGTCTCTAAGATGTTAAAACCCACAAGATGCCAAAGAACTTGAAAGTCGCAAACATTTGACAAAACAACACCAACATCTCATTATTTTGGTCTAACATCCTCAGATGCTGTCCTCCGTAGCCCTCAGATATCTCCTGGTCCTGTCCCTGGCGTTCTTGGCAGTTGTCACGTCCTCAAGAACCCAATCCAGGTTCGCGTCGTATGAGCTCATGGGGACTGAGGGCACAGAATGCGTCACCACTAAAACGATTTCACAAATATGCTATCAGGTGAGCGACTGTAGGCGCGGCGAAAAGATCTTCACAATTATGCTATCGGATAGACTATTGTATGGAAGTCAAGCGAATCATGTTCTTAAAGTCGTGTGTCTGTCTGGAAGTCAGTGCCGGCTCAACGTACCGGCAACTCGGGCAGTTGGCCGCGGTACCGTGTGCTTAGGGCGCCATCAACGATTGCATGTGGGCGCAATGGAAGAAGAATAGAAAGTGAAAAGAAAGAATAGAAATAAAAAGATTTGCTAATCTAAAGGCTAGTAATAAAATATCATCGGTAGGCTAATTGTTCGTATTGCCCACGGTAGGATAATTGTTCATACTGCCCATGGTAGGCTAATTTTTCATACTTTCCACGGTGGGATAATTTTTCATACGGTCAAAATACAAGTTAGACAAACAATATTATTGTTCAAACGAAAAACCTAGGTAATACAAGGTAATAAACCCATTAACTTTGAAAAACCTAGGTAATACAAGGTAATAAACCCATTACCTAATCCTTGGCGTTTTCCTTGCAAATTAAAAAAAAAATTATTACGCTTAAAACGTGCGCCAACGTTAAGCTTGGCCAGGGCACCAGCAACCGTAGGGCGGGGCCTGCTGGAAGTATCACTTTAAAAAACTAACTTTTAAAAAAAAAGAACAGCATTTTCAAAACTTGCAGTTGCAAACCCTTTTAAGCATTCTCGCATAAATATCAAGTTTGCTCAAGATAAATACTACACAACGACGCGAAATGGATCAGTTGGGGAATTCAAATATGGGTTTCAGGATGATTATTTGCCATAATGAGACGAAAATAGATTGTATGTTTCCATAGGTCAGATGATTCGCTGTAAGATTTTACGATAGGATTAACGATTGGAACACGTTTGGAAGTCAAGTGTCGACAATAAAATCGAATGTGGAAATTAATGACCAAGGGTGAAGAGTTTGGTGTTTGTCTAATCATCTTTAAGTCGTGGCACATTGGCTTCGAAATTATATGTGAAACCATTTTCACCAGGAATCTACCGTTTGCAAAGGGCATCAAACACCCCAAATGGCTAATGGCTAATCTTGTGATGACGTAGGGGGATATTTCCTGGTTTGATGTCAAGGACGACTTCATGACCACCACCCCACCCCACCCCCCCCCACACACACACACACCACCACACACATTTTATAACACGTGCGAAATAACAAAAACATTTGATGTTCTCAATTTAAAAATGGAAATGCACTTAGCAAAAATTCAAGTATTCACAGCATAAAAAAAAAAGTCGTAAAAGACCTTTACATTTGAAGTTACACATTTTTGTTATAGGGAATTTTCATTTTCTTCTTTCGTAGTATATTTCAAGACTTTTGACAATTCGTTAATTTGCGAAATGACATTTTTACTAATTTATTTTTTAAAAAAAAATCGTTCGAATGATGTCAACCCCACTTCCCTCCACTTTTCAGGAATCACCCCCCCCCCTTTTTCCTCAAGTCTGCACCGTGTAACTCTTAACTAGGTCATACAGAACTGCTAATAGTTTGTTGTGTAAATCAATTAGGTCATACAGAACTGCTAATAGTTTGTTTTGAAAAATAACTAGGTCATAAAGAACTAGTTATATTTTGTTTGGTAAATTAACTAGGTCATACAGAACTGTTAACATTTTGTTTTTTTAATTAATTAGGTCATACAGAACTACTAATAGTTTGTTTGTAAATTAACTAGGTCATACAGAACTGCTAATAGTTTGTTTGTAAATTAACTAGGTCATACAGAACTGCTAATATTTTGTTTTGTAAATTAACTAGGTCATACAGAACTGCTAATATTTTGTTTTGTAAATTAACTAGGTCATACAGAACTGCTAATATTTTTTTTGTAAATTAACTAGGTCATACAGAACTGCTAATAGTTTGTTTGTAAATTAACTAGGTCATACAGAACTACTAATAGTTTGTTTGTAAATTAACTAGGTCATACAGAACTACTAATAGTTTGTTTGTAAATTAACTAGGCCATATAGAAATGCTAAAAATGTATTTGTGTACAACTAGGTCACGATGCAGTACAGTCAATTTCACCAGCGATCAACATAAAAAAGTTTGCGGTACAACTCTACCTCACTAAAAATAACTATTTGTGTGCTCAAATAGTGTGGTACAACTCTACCTCACCAAAACTAACTCTTTGTTTTCTCAAATAGTGCGGTACAACTCTACCTCACTAAAAATAACTATTTGTGTGCTCAAATAGTGTTGTACAACTCTACCTCACCAAAACTAACTCTTTGTTTTCTCAAATAGTGCGGTACAACTCTACCTCACTAAAAATAACTATTTGTGTGCTCAAATAGTGTTGTACAACTCTACCTCACCAAAACTAACTCTTTGTTTTCTCAAATAGTGCGGTACAACTCATCCTCACCCAAACTAACTCTTTGTGTTCCCCAACAGTGTGCTACAAGACACGAAGACAGTTTTGTACAAGTTTACCAGGAATGTTGCAAGAAGGAAATGGGTCTGAGAGAGTACTGTGAGGAGATCTATACCGAGCTGCCCATTCGAAGTGGACTCTGGCAGCCCAACAAATAAAGGACGTCAACATGGGCTTTAATACATCTAAAAAACAACACATCATTAAGAAATTTCGTCTGTTGAATTGTAAGCTGATGTTAAAGACTAAATAAACATAAATAACAAATATCTCACCTTTTTTTTTTTTATGTGTTTTTTTTAAACAGTATTATATGTTTTGACCACATTGATGACCATAGATCAGATTTGTTGTCATAACTCAGTTTTTTGTAGATCAGATTTAGAGTCAGAAATCAGTTTGTCATAGATCAGATTTGTTGTCATAACTCAGTTTGTCGTAGATCAGATTAAGAGTCAGAAATCAGTTTGCCATAGATCATATTTATAGTAAAAAATCAGTTTGTCATAGATCAGATTTGTAGTCATAAATCAGTTTGTCATAGATCAGATTTATAGTCAGAAATCAGTTTGTGACATAGATCAGATGTATAGCCATCAATCAGTTTGTCATAGGTCAGATTTATAGTCATGACATTAAGTGTTGAATTAATGAAGACCCAATTCCTGAAGCTAAGAAAGTGAGCGTGACTCATCGGACGGCTTAACCGGGACGATTCCTTTCGTGACGTGCTGTCTCATGGTGCCTCCATATCCATTGACTTATGAGCTACATCTGATGCCTCATGTGCCACATCTGGGGCCTTGTGTGGCGCAGAGGGAAGATAGTGTGTTACCTCTTGAGGCTAGCGTGGCACCCCTTGAGGATAGTGTGTTACCTCTTGAGGCTAGCGTGGCACCTCTTGAAAGTTAGTGTGACCTGTCTTGAGGATAGTGTTGCAAATCCTGAGGATAGTGTAGTACCTCTTGATAATGTCGCCTTTTTGGGGGGCTCAAAATGGCGCTTCGGCGGGGTTGTGCGCATCTGGGAGACTTGTGCGCGTCTGGGAGACTTGTGCGCGTCTGGGAGACTTGTGCGCGTCTGGGAGACTTGTGCGTATCTGGGAGACTTGTGCGCGTCTGGGAGACTTGTGCGCGTCTGGGAGACTTGTGCGTATCTGGGAGACTTGTGCGTATCTGGGAGACTTGTGCGCATTTGGGAGACTTGTGCACATCTGGGAGACTTGTGCGTATCTGGGAGACTTGTGCGCATTTGGGAGACTTGTGTGCATCGGGGAGACTTGTGCGCATCTGGGAGACTTGTGCGCATCTGGTGGAGCGTACTTTATATATTTTAAAGTTTCAAATGAAGTAAACTAGTACCAAGAGTGGCCAACCTTGACCAGTGCAGACAAGACAATGCGGGGGCGGGGGGGGGGG